AGAGGGAAAGAGGGGAAGAACATGTGTGCTAATGGAAGAGAGGGAGTGGAAGAAAGAGAGAGAAGGAGAAGGATAGGGGAGGAGGGAGAAAGAAAAAGGAAAGAGGGCGGACAAGGTGAGAGGAGAAAAGGAGGGCGAAAGGTTCATGAAGACAAAAAGGAACAGAGAGAGGGGCAGAGAAAAAGAGTAGAGCAAGATAGGGAAAGGGAGAGAGGGAGAAGGATTGGGAAGAAGGTAGACAAAGAGGGAAGAAGAAGATGGAGGGAGAGAGATAGGCAGATAAGAGAGAAGAGGGAGGGAGGTAGAAGAGCAAAGGCAGAGGAAGAAAGAGAGGTAGAGAAAAAAATGTTGGAGATAAAGAAAGGTGGTTAAAGATAGAGAAAGAGGGAGAGGTAAAAGAGTGGACGAAATAAGGAGAGAGAAAAAGTGAGGGAGAGAGAAGGAAATAGGTAGCCGCCATTCTCATAGCTGCTACTGATAAGGATAACGGTACTAATGATACTGACTTTTAACTGATAAAGGTAACATCACAGTTATTTCAATATCAATATTAGCACCTATGTTGATAGTGATGATGATGGTGACGGTCCTGATAATGATAACTGTACTAATGATATTGATAATGTTAATTGATAAAGCTAAGGATTTTGGTGCTGATAACCATAATGATAATAACGACTGGATAATATTGAATAAGATAATCCTGAATAATGATAATGATAAGAAGAAATACTAAGTACTAATAATGAGGAGAGACACACAACCACCACCAAACAACAAACAACAAACAACAACAACAACTTAAGAAAACAAAAAAATATCAGGTAAAATCGCGATCACCTGTGACCCTCGAACCGAAAGCAATGACCTCTCCTGCAGGTCTGTGGGAGAAAGAACCAGGTGCAGGTGAAGACGAAGACGAGGATGATTGTTTTGAATTGAAAGGTGGATAGAAAACGGGATCTTTCGACATGTGGAGAAAATGAGACGATGATAACAAGTGGAAGAGGCGATGGGTGGAATGAAAGGGGTGAGGAAGAGAGGGAGAGGGAATAGGAAGGAAGGAGAAAGAGATCAAGAGAGAGGAAAAGAGATATGAGAGAGATGGAGGTGGGAGAGAAAGGAAGAGAGAGAGAAAGGGAGAGAGAGAGAAAAGAAAGGCAGAGAGAAAGGAAGAGAGAGAGAAAGGGAGAGAGAGAGTAGAAAGGCAGAGAGGGAGTAGAAAGGAAGGGAGAGGGAGAAAGAGATCAAGAGAGAGTAAAAGAGATATGAGAGAGATGGAGATGGGAGAGAAAGGAAGAGAGAGAGAGAGAGAGAAAGAAGAAAGGGAGAGAGAGAAGAAAGGCAGAGAGAGAAAAGTGAGAGAGAGAGAGAGAGAGACCTACAAAGAGAGAGAACGAAGAAAGGAAGAAGGTAAATTAATAAGGCATACAGTATCGACCCAAGTCATTAGCAAGGTATTCACACAGTATAAATCTTCTAAACCCAGTTAAAGAGAGCTTCCTTTTAGCCCCCCCCCCTCCCCCCGGAAGTTATATTATATAAGACCAAGAAGACTACGAAAAGAACAGAAAAATATAAAAAATAGAGACCGTTACATAACGTCGTCTATTCATTTACTACAAAGGAGTGATGGGACTTATAGATATACACACTCACATACGCACATAGATACACACACACTCACACACGCACACAGATACACACACTCACATACGCACAAAGATACACACACACTCACATACGCACATAGATACACACACATTCACATACGCACATAGATACACACACACTCACATACGCACATAGATACACACACACTCACATACGCACATAGATACACACACACTCACATACGCACATAGATACACACACACTCACATACGCACATAGATACACACACACTCACATACGCACATAGATACACACACTCACATACGCCCATAGACACAGACACACTCATACGCACATAGAGTCACATACACACACTCACATACACACATAAATAAAAACACATTCACATACGCACATAGATACACTCACACTCATACGCACATAGAGTCACACACACACACTCACATACACACATAAATAAAAACACATTCACATACGCACATAGATACACTCACACTCATACTCACATAAACTCACACACACGCACTCACACTCACATACACACATAAATAAAAGCACATTCACATACGCACATAGATACACTCACACTCATACGCACATAGAGTCACACACACACACTCACATACGCACATAAATAAAAATACATTCACATACGCACATAGATACACTCACACTCATACGCATATAGATACACTCACACTCATACGCACATAGAGTCACACACACACACTCACATACGCACATGAATAAACACACATTCACATACGCACGTAGATACACAGACGCACACATACGTACACACTTTCTCCTTTTAATACAATTTGAACCTATAATCTTATTATGAACAGTCGTTCTTTCCCACATGAGGAAATGATAAAAAGATAATGAATGCATAAAATGATAATGATAATCGTATTCCACAACGAAAGAAGGAGGAAAGGAAAGGAAAAAAAACAATCACTCATCAATATTATGACCGACACACGAAACAAAAAAAAAAAGTAAAATCCATTAACAAAATTGAGTTCTTTCTCACCCCCCCCCCCTCCTCATCCTCCTCCTCTTCCTCCGTCTTTACCCTCTTTCACCTCTTCACCCCCACCCCCCCCTCACCCTTTCACCCCTTCACACCCCCCCTCTACCTCCTTCTCAACCCCCACCCCCCACCTTTCACTCATCTACCCACTCCTCACCCCCACACCCCCCACCTTTCACTCCTCTACCTCTTCCTCATCCCCCCACCCATCACCCCCCACCCCTCTACCCCACCCCTCACCCTTTCACCCCCACCCTTCACTCCTCTACCCCCTCCTCATCCCCCCACCCCCCCACCCCCCACCCTTCTACCTCTTCCTCACCCTTTCACCCCCACCATCCACCCCTCTACCCTACCCCTCACCCTTTCACCCCCCCATCATCCACCCCTCTACCCCTTCCTCACCTCTCCACCCCCCCCACTCTACCCCCTCCCCCCCTTCCCTCCTTCACCTCACAGAACGTCAAGAGACCCATTATCCAATATCGTAATCGACTGCCGAATTTTGTTTTTGTTTTTTTTTTACTTCTTTCCTTGTTCATCTAGGTTGGGGGGAGGGAGGGGGGAGAGGGAGGGGGATGGAGGATGGGATAGGGGGGAGATGAGAGGAAAGGGGAGGGGAAAGGGGAGGGGAAAGGAGGAAGGGAAAGAGATCCGTGGGGGGGGGGGGAAGTGGAGGATGGGAAGGGAATGGGGGAATGGGGGAAGGCGAAAGGAGGGAGAGGGATAGGGGAGGATAGGAGGGTGAAAAGGAGGAAGGGAAAGAGATAGGGATGGAATAACGGGGGGGGTGGGAAGGAGTAGGAGAGGGGGGAAGAGGAGAGGAGGTTGTGAAGGAGAAGCAAAGGAGCAAAAAAGGAGGTAAGGAGTAAGGGAAGGAGGAGGTGAAGGAGAAGGATGGGTTAATGGAAGGGGGGGGAGGGGTAACAGGAAGAAAAGAAGGAGAGGGAAGGAGAGGAGTGGGGGGGGGTAAGAGATAGGGCAGGGAAGGGAGGGAGAGGGACAAGGAGAGAGAGAGGAGAGAGAGAGAGGAGAGAGACAGACAGACAGAGAGACAGACAGACAGAGTCAGGGAGAGAGAGAGAGATACAGACAGACAGAGAGACAGTGAGAGAGAGAGAGACAGAGACAGAGAGTGACACAGAGAGAGTGTCAGAGAGACAGACAGACAGACAGGCAGATAGAGAGAAAGAGAGAGGGAAGGGGAGAGAGCTCTTCTGACGACGTGTCTTTTCTCCAGCAGCTACGGCCATTGTGAGGAACTTTGTCCTCTTGGAGAGTTGTGTGTAGCCTGAGGGTCAAGAAGAGGTGTCTCTGTTACTTTGTTCTTCTGTGTGCTGTTTCATTCAATTTCTCTTTCTTATTTATCTTTTTTTTAACCGAATTTCTTTATCTTTCGACTTTCTTTTTGTTTGATTCCTTTTGTACTTGTTATTTCTTTCAAAGAGTTTGTATTTACCTAATAAGTTTTGCTCAATCTTGTTTTTTTTTGTCATTATTCCTCTTCTGTTTCCTACATTTTTGTTATTTCTTTCAAATAAATCTACTATCATCACTACTTCTACTTGTGTTACTTGTGCTTCTTGTTTCTTTTTTGTGTTTTTTTCTGTTTTAGTTATTTTCTCATTTTCTTCTTATTTGTGCTAATAGATTATCGACTACAAGCATAAATTTAATTCACTCATAATAATTTCCGTGTAATTACTCTGGCTTGTCTATCTTGTCTATTTCCTAATTACCTATGTAACAACAGCCTTCCATGCAGATTTTTTTTTTTTGGGGGGGATTCTATCTTTTCTATCATCTTTTTTTTCTCCTTCGTTTTCTCTTCCTTTTTCGTTTGTTTTTGTTGTCTTTCTGTCTACCTATCTATATGTTTATCTATCTACCTGTTTGTTCCTCTGTACCTGTCTCTTTCTGTATCTATCTCTATCTCTCTCTCTCGCTCTCTCTCTCTCTCTCTCTCTCTCTCTCTCTCTCTCTCTCTCTCTCTCTCTCTCTCTCTCTCTCTCTCTCTCTCTCTCTATCTCTCTCTCATTAAGTGTGTGCAAATATTTTTACAGATTTTCTCGATGCTTTTCGATTCCCTTTTATGGTTTTATTCCCCTCCACCTCGTCCCTCTGTAATTCTTTCACTTGCTTTACTCCGCATACAGCGTGCTTAGCGAGGGCGCAAGAGGTCAACACACATGACATTAGGAGGCAGCAACAGCCTTTGTCTCACAGTACAATGGCATCTCGGCGGCCAGTGAAATGGACTTGCATGTTAGTCATGTTTTCTTCGCGTCCCTTAATTACTCACACAGGCATATTTTTCCTTGCCTTTCAG